TCCAGCAAAGGCTCCGTCTGTTCTCAGGTAGATCACAGAGGAACAGGACGTCGCAAACGCGGAGCCTCTCTGCAAAGTACACAACGCAGCAGCAGCCCGGACGTTCCCACCAGAGGCTTTCTAGCCTGGGGCTTTGTAGCACTTTGGTTTTATTTATTCAGGTTCAGCAAACTCACACAAGATGAAAGCGAGACGAAGGAGTGTTTTATTAAGAAAGAGTCCATCATTATTTAAAAAAACAACCAAAAAAAAAAAGAAAAACAACCACCTTTCTGTCCTCCTTGAGACAGGTTGGAGGCTCCTGAGCCTGGCTACTCCTCCGAGCACGAGGCCCAGGCACGTTCCACCTGCGCAGTGAGCCCAGAGCTTTTGTCTCAAGTCTCAGAGCAGAAGAGACAGCTCAAGCTGATTTTTCCTTCTCTGGGTCTCTCTTGGTCACGATGGGGAGGAGACTTGGCAAAGGTCAGTCTCCTTCATCTTCCTTCTCTCGCTAACCCTGCCTTCACCTGGCTAAACCTCTCGTGTTCCTAAGGACAGAGCCGGCTTGCCGGCACCCAGCCATCGCCCTTCTGCAAAAACGCTGCTCTGTGCTGCGGGGCTGGAGCACAAGAGGTCAAACCCTGATGGGAGAGAGTCCAGCAGCCGGACCTCTGCCTGGAAACGCTTTCACTCGGTCTGAGTCACAGGACGTGGAGATCCAGAGATCCCTCAAGCTCCGGTAGGAAAAGGAGAGGTGTCAAAGCAGAGAGGAGCTGGGGAAGAGCTGGGTGTGTTACAGATCCATCACTTCTTCTGCCACGGCTTTGTCCTGAGATTGCACATACCTCTCCTGCACGGCAAGCGTGCTGATAAGGCAGTAATTAAGGAAAACAAGGGGCTGGGCTCAAACACTCCCTTCTGCAAGGAGCTCTTAACATTCCCAGCGAGGAACCAGCCCCACATTAGCCTGGAGGCTGGCAGGAAGGCAGCAGTTCTGGCAGCAGCACACATCACCCGAGTTACTTCTGGCTCTGGCTGATCCCAGACCTGACAAGTACGGGAGAATCAATGGTATGGTTTGGAAGGGGTGCAATGAAGCACTCCAAGTGAGTGTGAGGGAGAGGAAAGTTGTCAAAAGATTCCTCCCACATTCACAGTATCAATTAGCAACAAATGTGGTGGCTTTGGTGCGGACACCCAAGGTCTGGGCTGAGCCCTAACCAACTCGCTACACTCGTATCACCAAACAGCAGCGGGTGATGTTAGTAACAACCTGCAAACTGCCCGCCCCACCTCCAGCCTCGCTTCCCCAAGGACAGAGAAATTAAAACTCAACCCAACAGAGGATCAGTGGAAAAGGATACGAAGCAAAGTGGAAATCAGCTCCTACTGCTGCTGACATCAGAGCTTCCAGGCTCCTGTGCTCCTGGTCTCCGAAGGAATAGCCGTTGGCTTTGTCCACCGCCTGCATCACCTGCCGCATGCTCTCCTTATCCTGGAAGGGAGGGAGATGGCACACAGGGAATCTGGTCCTTCCCCGGCGGCAAGGGCTCACGCTGGGCTTTACCGCGGATTTTCTCTGAGGCTCTGGGACACCCACACAGCTCCCGACGCCCCGAGGATGCTGGCGGCCTCCCTGAGCCCAGAGGGGTCAGGGTCATCCGCTGCGGAGCCCGAACACATGATGGATGGGCTGTCACCCTCCACCCTCTCGCTCCCTTTCATCTCCTCCTGTCTCAGCCCATTTGCCTGTGTTGACGCTTCTGCAAACGACCAGATGAAGGTTTCAGCCCTTCCTCCTCCCAAATGTATTCCTTCCAATCTTCTAATTATTTTGTGCTCCCTAATTTAACAACGTGTTAGCTAATTCTTTGCCCAGATTTGAAATGCAGGCACAGAAGAGCTGAATGAAGGGGGAATCTTAATTCCCCACCCCAGGACAGGAGGCCCAGGTAGCCCCAAGCTCATTAGCCGTTTCTTTTCCTTTGGCTGCCACAGATCATTTACAAGTCTGGGTGTGTTTCACTGTCCTCCTCCATCCCAGGTCTCTTCACAGCTGAAGTCTTCATCCCTCATGGCTCTAAGAAGATGTAACCTAGCTGCTACCAAACGTGCTGACTACACACCCAGCGCTCCCCATTCCCTCCTGCTGCGTCACCTGGACGTTGAGCGGAACGAAGGACACCAGGCTGTAGTCCTCGATCACCTCCACCAGCTTCTCATTGAGGCGGCGGTAATTTCTGAAGAAAGGGTCGGAAGCTAAATGGTCAACCAAATACGAGAGGTCCAGGACCTCTGTGTAATAATCCAGGTTGAAAGCTGCAGGGAAACACCAAGAAGGCAATTTGTAAACTGAAGAACCCAGTGAAATTTACAACAGCTCCCCAACCGCCTCCCAGCAATACATCCCCGTCCCCACCAGCTAATCTGCACCCGCCGCTGCCCGACTCCGTGTGTCTCTCTCGCGAAGGTTCTCACCCAGCTTGCCGTACTGCTCGATCAGGTCCATCTTGGAGAGGACGTTGACGTGGGGCAGCTCCACGTGCAGCATGGTGGAGAGCGAGGTGCAGAGGACAGAGATGAACTTGCCGGGGTCCGTGCAGTAGTGAGAATCCACCAGATGCACCGCAGCCAGCTGGACAGCAAAGGCACCGAGGGAGACAGCAAGGTCAGAGCCGTGACGAGTCCATCGCTCGCTTTTGGGACCGTCTGAGAAGCGGCTGGGGGGAAAAACTATCCAAC